AGCTTATAACAACAGGTTTGTTACAATTTAATGACAAACCACAGAACTACAGAGCCTGGAAACGCTCTTTTCAGTCAGCAACACGGGGTTTGGACCTATCACCAAGTGAAGAAATGGACCTCCTGCTGAAGTGGCTTGGGAGGGAATCGGCACAGCATGTTGAACAGATCAGAGCAATACATATAAACCAGCCACAAGCAGGGTTAAATATGATATGGAACAGACTCGATGAAAAATATGGATCAGCAGAAGCAATTGAAGATGCTCTTTTTAAACGCATTGAAGACTTTCAAAAAATAACCAATAGGGATCACTCCAAGCTAACAAAGTTAGGTGATCTTCTGATGGAACTCCAGTCAGCCAAATCTGAGGGAGATTTACCTGGCTTGTCTTTCCTTGACACAGCACGAGGTGTTAACCCGATAGTGCAAAAGCTACCGTATCGGCTGCAGGAGAGGTGGATAACTGTTGGCGCATCCTACAAACAACAAAAACATGTTCAGTATCCTCCTTTCTCCTACTTTGTGGATTTTGTGTGCCAAGAAGCAAAGATTGCCAGTGACCCAAGTTTCAGCTTTATTTCTCACACGGACACAACTCAAACAAGCAGAGCAGGTCCGAAGCCAAACAAGTTTAAGGAGGTATGTGTTCACAAAACTGAAATCTCTCCTCAAGCTTGCACAGACACTGATAAGACGTTAACACTTGATGACTGTGACAAAATGTGCCCCATACACAGAAAACCTCACCCTCTGCGTAAGTGTCGTGCATTTAAAGAGAAATCCTTTGAGGATCGTATGGCACTTCTAAGGGAAAACAACATTTGTTTTAGGTGCTGTTCATCATCCACACATATTGCAAGGAACTGCAAGATCAAGCTGCAATGTACAGAATGCAAAAGTGAAAAGCATCACACAGCACTTCACCCACTACCCAGATGTGAGTCTGACCCCTTACTTGAGCATGGCGGGGAGGATGACAAATCTGCAAATCAGCTTCAGGTAACCTCCAAGTGCACCGCAGTCTGTGGTGGAGAACAGACAAATCGTTCCTGCTCCAAAATATGTCTTGTAAAGGTGTATCCAGTTGGCTGCAGAGACAGGGCTGTGAAACTGTATGCAATTCTGGACGAACAAAGCAACAGGTCCCTAGTGCGGTCACAGTTTTTTGATGTGTTCAAAGATGAAAGTCCAAGCGCTCCATATACACTGAGAACATGTGCTGGAGTTAAGGAAGCAGCTGGAAGAAGAGCTAGTGGGTATGTAATTGAATCGATGGATGGAAATGTACACATCCCACTACCAAGTCTAATAGAATGTAACAACATTCCTAACAATAGGGATGAGATCCCAACTCCAGAGGTGGCCCTTCACCATCCACACTTAAAGTCATTGGCTCACCTGATTCCTGTCATTGACCCACAAGCCCAGATCATGCTGCTGCTTGGTCGAGACCTTATTAGAGTTCATAAGGTACGTA